CTGTGGTCAGATGGAGAAGGCTGGTGAGGAGCCCTACTGCACTGCCCCCCAGGCCCTGGCCAAGACTGCTCTTTGGAGCAGAGGCGTCCAGGGCAGGTCTCCCTACGCTGTGGCCTTGGCACTTCCATCTGTGACCTGAGAACCATGGCACCATCCGCTTCCCAGGAAGTATGAGGATTCCATGCCATGGAGGTAAAGGCGTTAGCAGATGGCCTCACTTGGGGAGGGGACACAGGGCTTCTAGTCCTTGGGATCTGTTGAGGGTCTAGACAGTCAGTTGTGTCTAGGACTCAGGGATGTGTCAGAGGGATGGGACAGTGGTGGGGGGTACAGCCATAGAGGGTACAGTGAGCCACCTGGCCTTGGGAGACATGAAGGGAGCTCCCCATAACTGGACAAAGAGCAGGGGCATTTCTCAGATTCTGGGTGAGCACTGGGGTGCTGCTCTTGGGACCTGACCTTGAGCAGACAGCTGCCGTGATGACCAACGCTTGGGTTGTCTTTGTCCCTTTTCCCAGTCACCAGGGTTGAGGGCTCAGGGAGGATTGCCCCCATCCCAGCTGAACTCCTCCCCCTCCCAGAGCTTAGCTGACCTTGGCTGCTGGGATACTGGGGCTTTGGGCTAGGAACCTCGGGGCCCCTGAATCTTGGTTCTGAGCCAGACCCCGCCCTACCCACCAGGAGCCCCCAGCCAGGCAGGAAGCTGGTCTGTGACTGACCTTCCCAGCATAGCCTGACAACTGTCAGGCTGCTGGGACCACTTGCAGGGTTGCTGTCTCCAGGGAGTCCCGGAAGGCTTCGTGGAGGAGGGTGTGCTGATGCTGAGTGTTGAAGGTTGGATAGGATGAGGGGATGGCATTTGCCTGGAGGCCTGCCTGAGGGAGCTGTGAGCCCTGGGGAAGAGCAGTCCAGGGTGAGGTAGAACAGACAGATGGACCCCAGCAAGCGGGGCTGGTACTGAATCCCATGCATTCCTGACCAGAAACCCCTCTTCTGGACTCCAGGGCCTGAGAAATGCCTCTTTCTGAAAATCCTTTTTACAGTACTTCTTCACTGTGTGCTCATTACTGTCGAATTTTGTTTGAAGCAAGACCCTTCTTTTTCAGGAAGTGGCCCCCAGGGAGTTGAGGTATGGAGGTGACACTAGGAGGAAGACCAGCCCCTGGGCCTGCCCTCTTGGAGCAAACTTGTCTTTCCCCTGTGAAGTGGGGGTGAGCTCAGTATCTGCCTCTTGGCCTTGTGAGGATTCAGCGAAGGGATATATGTGACATTTCCTGTGGGCACGGCCACCAGCTCTGCTCTGGTGAGGAGCCAGGGGCACGGAGCCCGCAGTCCTGTTTGAGGTCTGAGCCTGGCGTAGTCCCATGGCATCCCTGGTGGGGTTGCCGTGAGAATGAGCTCAGACTGGGCTGCAGCAGTGTGAAGGCCTTTGCCCCGCTTGGTGTGGTGGCTCTGATCTCCAGGGGCCACAGGAGGTCATCGGGGTAAGCCATCGTGAGCCACATCCGGGCACTGCAGGAGGCCATGCAGTGGGAGTGTTGGGCCACCTTACCTTCTCTTCTTACCCCAGCCATGGAGTGGCAGGGAGGGACCTGATGCAGGGGTCAGGGGTCACAGAGATCCTGTGTACAATGGCATCAGGCCTCTGAGCCCCTTACCTTTCTGTAAAATGGGTAGATGAATATTCCTGGTAAAAGGGACATGAAAGCGAGCAGCTGGGTGTCCTGCGCCAAATGGAGAGGGTGCTTATGAGTGGAGCACCTCCTGGGAGTGGGGTGGGAGCGAGGCGGCAGCCGGCACCTGGTCACCTCCTTTTACTGAGCTTCCTAGGTAGGGAGACTGAGCCCACTTGCTGTCCCCTTGGAGCCTGGCCAGTCTGCGGTGCCCTCCACCCTCCCTCCCTGCCTTGTTGGGCTTTTCGCCCAGCCTGTAGGTGGGCAAAATGCTGCCCTGAGGCAAAGGCAGGGCTGGGTGAAGGCCTACTTAAACTAATTGATGGGGCGGGGTGGTGTGGAGTATTAGGGGGTCCTGCAGGCTCGGGACAGGGCTGGCTTCCTGGAGGAGGTGGTTCTTAGGCCACTTAGTGACCAAGTGACCATTTTTCCTTCCTGAGCCCTAGTCATTTTATCAGCCACCACCAGGGGCACATTCAGCCTCTGCCAGGAGCTTTCACCCTCGCAGGGTGACAGCAGAACAGCTCCCTCGGGGCCTCTTGTGCACCTTTTCTGTCTGACCAGGAGCATTTTGGGGAGGAGGGGAATAGGTGGGCTCCAGGCTGAGTGGGAAGGATATGTGTCTGCATGTGAATCGGAGCCCAGGCCCTCTGGCCCTGCCCCCACCCGACGGGGCAGCGCTTCAGGCCGGGTCCTCTACTGTGCAGAAACAGCCTGGCAGACCTTGGAGTAGCTAATGGCTGGCCCGGGTGCCGCCTCCTCCGACTCCTCCCAGTGAGCTTAGCTGCATGGGGGTGCAGCCTCTGCCCCGGGTCCCCCAGCCTGGAGAAGCCCACAAGGGGTTGGGAGGGTCACAGGTGCCCAGCTGCAGCCAGGATGCCTTAGCTGTGAGTTTCCCTACAGCCCTCTGTTTAGCCAGGAACCTTCCTGGGGAGTCCTGGGCCAGCTGGGGCATGTTTATGGAGCAGGATGGTGAGGAAGGAAGAGGAGGGTTCTGCAGCCGTAGGTTCCAGGCCCTTGCTGCTTTCAGGTCTGACCTGGACCTGCGGGGCTCGCGGGCTGTAAAACCAGAGCCCCCTCGTCTCCCCGTGCAGGACCAGTCTGCTGAACCATGCCTCCCTTTCCTCTCCCAGCCACCTCATCCAGGTGCTCCAGGCAGGGGGCGGCCCCAGCACATCAGCTCCTCCCTTTGCACTTCCTGGGTCCCTACCCTGCCCTCCCAGCATCCTTACCTGGCAGGGGTTTCCAGGCTGGGCCAGAAAGCAGCCTGATCTGGCCTGCCGGCTGGGTTTTCAGTCCTGGACAGCAAGAGTAGGGGGCTGTGGGTCCCAGCCCTTCCTAGGCGGGGTGACTTTTCTAGCAGCTGGGGCAGGGCCTCTCTTGCATTAAGGAATGAAGCCCCATCCTGGGAGGGAAGCCTGGAATTTGCCCCATGTGGTGTGCGGCCTGAGGTGGCATATTGCAGCTGAGGGGATTACAAACCTCCCCACAGCCTAGGCCAGTGCTGTGATGGGGATGGAGAATGGGCCACTGGAGCAGGGCCTGGGGAGCTCGTTAAGGGAAGGTGCCTGTTGGCACCCAGGGCTGAGTGGTGCGGTAGGCCACAGTGCATGTTTGTGAAAGCTGCCTCCCGGGGGCGGGGTGCTGGAGGAGCAGAGGCGGTGTTCCTGTGTGTGCCAGTGGGCTTGAGCCTCACTAAGCTCTACATGTGAGTTTGGGGGTTTGGCTTAGCCCTGAGCTGACCTCAGCCTGCCTCACAGCTTCCCTCTGGTCTGTGTATTCCCCTTGAGCTCCCAGGAGTCCTACCTGAACGCACCCATTCAGCTTGAGTGATCGGAGCCTCACCCTGGGCCAGCTGCAGAGCCAGCTGCATACTGGGCATGGGGGAGCAGTTACGGGGAGGCTCACTGGGTCTCTTGGGTCAGGCTGTGGGGTTCCCGAGGGCTGGGGTCCTCCTTCCAGCTCTGACTGCCATGGAGTGCCTGGCACAGGACTCCACGTTAGAGAGGGCTGTTGCCATGAACGTGTAGGGTCGGAGGTGTGGAGGGTGGCCTCCAGCCTGTGAGGGCCTCTGGGCAGGGCCTGTTGGCTCATCTCTGGATTCCTGAGCCCCCACGTAGTGGGCCTCAGCTCTCCCTTACCTCCAGTGGTCATGGAGATAGGAGCTACAGGGTTGTGCCCTGCCGGAAGTGTTTGGTGACCCTGCCAGATCTTCCTGCCTGAAGTCTTGACTGAGACAGGGAGAGAGTGATAGCTTGAACCTTGGGCCATTAGAGGCCAGGAGCTGAAAGGCAGAAGGTGTTGGGGGAAGGAGGTCTAGGTGGGCTAAGGCCAAGATGGGTTCTGTGCCAGCTCCAGGGGTTTGGGCTGTGGGCAAGAGTAGGGGCAAGGCCTGCCCAGCTTCCATGCCAGGGGAGGGCTTAGCAGTCCTGCTAGTCCTCAGGTCCCAGCTGTGGGAGGGAGCTTCGTGGGGCACTGCTATGTGCCGTTGGCTCTGGAAGGGACATTCACCTCTCTTGAGAAGGACCCCACCAAGCTCTGGTGCAGGTGCCATCTGAGGTGCTTTCCACGTGATATGCTGAGGAGACCGAGGCTCAGAGAGGGGAAGTGACTTGTTCAGGGCCACACAGCAAGTGAGCGGTGGGCCCAGTCCAAGGCCAGGTCTGTCAGAGCCCGGCCTGGTCTGGGCTCCATTGGGCACCAGGTGGCCCACTGCCTCTGCTCTTTGTACCTGCATCGGGCCCACTGACCCTGGCCTTGGCCCCCAAGCTCCAGCACATGGGCCCTGAGTCTCAGGGTCTCAGGTACCGTGCAGAGACTGCTGCGTCCTCTTCGGTTTGAGCCTCAGGTCCTCAAGTATGGAAGGGGAGCAGCAGAAGTCCCTGTGGTTCTCCTGCCCTGAGTGGGGCTGGTGGGCGGACTGTGATGCTGTATGAGAAAGGGCTCTGTTGACAGTGACGTTCTGGACAAATGGGTGACTACTTTGGTCTTGGAGGAAGACCAGGGCCAAGGAAAGGAGGTGGGGAAGGTTGCTTGGGTCCTGTGGGGCTCCAAGGCCAGGACCCTACCCTGCGCTCATTGCTGATGTTCAGTTCCTGAGTGGTGGCCTCATCCTCAGCCGTTTGCTTCCTTAGAGGCTGAGCCACTTCCCCAGAGTCCCTCAGTGGGGAAGAGCACCTGGCGGGTCCCTGTAACTCCAGTACTGTAATGCCCCCTTCTTGGGAGGAATGATTGCCTCTAGCTGGGAGGTCTAGACAGGCCTCCTGGAGAAGGGGGAAGCGAGGGGAGTGGTAGGCTGGGCCTGACACAAGAACCACCCACCCCCAGGTCCCATCTGATGCCCAGGCTGAAGGAGTCTCGCTCCCACGAGTCCCTGCTCAGCCCCAGCAGCGCGGTAGAAGCGCTGGACCTCAGCATGGAGGAGGAGGTGGTCATCAAGCCCGTGCACAGCAGCATCTTGGGCCAGGACTACTGCTTCGAGGTGAGTTCCACTGCAGGGGTGGGTTGGGGCACCGTGTCATCTCCTGGTGAGGCCAGGTCGCATCCAGACACCCCTCTGGAGTGCTCTGTGGCCTCAGTGGGGGCCAGGTTCTTTGGGGGCAAGGCTGGAATCTGCTCATAGCTTTTGGCTCCTAAGAAACCAGGTGGAGGTGGGAGATGGGGGACTTTGTTCCTGCTCCGTGAGCTCCTTGAAAATGGACCAGCACAGTCTTCCATGTGCAGGGGCACAAGGCCCCAGTGGGTGAAGGGAGTGAAAGCCTGTATAGAATTGCTTAAGCCCCAGAGCCTACTCACTCCTCAGAAACTCCTCAAATACATTGTGGGGTAGTGGAATATACTACCTTTTTTGGGCCTGTCTCCCTTTCTGCATGATGAGAGCCAGAACCTTTCCTGCCCTAGCTTTCTGTGACCCGAGGTTTGAAAGCAGAGGGACAGCCACCCAACCTGTATAGGGTGTGCAAGGCTGTGACCTGCCCAGTCCCTCACTGTAGATGGGGAAGCCGAGGCCCAGAGTTGTCAAGAAGATGTCAGCAGCCACACATCAAGCCCGAGGCCAAACCCGGACCAGGGTATCTAATGTTGCAGGTGTTCCTGGGCGTTCCTAATCGCTTCTCCAATTATTCATATTCTCTTCCCACCTTTGTTTCTGGGAAGCTTCCCACCCCCAACAATCTTGGATGATTAGGGGAGCTCTCTGATAGAGGAATGAGCCTGGTAATGAAAATCAGCTACTCAGGGACAACCTCCAGGCACCCCTGCCCTGAGGAAAGAATGGAATGGGGCCTGGCACCTGCCCCATACCCTGTGCCCACTGGGTGCCCTTTCTGATTCAAGACTCCTGGTCCAGCCAGGCTCTGACTTCTTTGCCTGGGACGGGCTGAAGATGATGCCTGTCCACTTGTCCACAGCCGGGGATGCTGTTTTGTGCATGCCCTTGAGTGGCTGGATAAGGAGTCTGCTTTCCCCCTGGAGAGCCCTTGGCCTCGTGTTGGGCACAGCAGGAACAGAGTCTGCGTGGGTCAGGTTCCCTCACCTGGAGAAGACGAAGGATGAGCAACAGTCCGGCCCCAGGGCCCAGCAGGCCTAGATAGCCCAATTCTCATTTCTCCAGTGTGGCCCCCAAAATGTTAAGTTTCTGTGACCGTCACTGTTGTCACTGCCACTTAGCCAAAGACCCGTCAGAAGGTGTCAGCTGAGGACTGAGGTGATCCTTTGTGCTTACCCGTGGCTGTCTCCTTGGTGCCTGTGGTTTTACCTGTAGAGGGCGGTTCTGGGTAAGCACTGCCTTCTGACCTGGGCTGGGGGCCCTCCCCTTCTCTCCTCCCATCTCTGGGAGAGTGAGATTGGAGCCAGAAAGATGCTTTCCTGTGGACAGGGCTGCTGAGGCAAGGTAGGGAGCCGGGACCAGGCACCAGCTGGTACAGGCATGGGCCTCCTACTGTTGTTGACTTGCTTGGGGACCTCGGGTCTCAGTGCGTCACCTGCAAACGCTGTCATTGTGAGCCTTGTTCTGCCCCCTCCCTGTGGCTGTGGCGCAGACTTGGCAGCTGAAGTCCCCCAAGGCCCAGAGGTCTTCCATCATAGCAGCCTTTCTGTGTTCCCCTCCTCTGTGACTATCCTGCCCATCCCCCCAGGTGACGACGTCGTCAGGAAGCAAGTGCTTCTCCTGCCGATCGGCAGCCGAGCGGGATAAGTGGATGGAGAACCTCCGGCGAGCCGTACACCCCAACAAGGTAAGCCTGGGCCCAGAGCAGACGCAGACTCTGGCAAGAGGGATAGAAGTAGGGATCTCTGGTGTAGGCTGCGGTGGGGGGGCGGGGTGGAAGCAGCGCCCCAGTGGGCAGTGGTGCTGGGCCCTGCAGGAGGAGCTCTAGGTGGCCAGGCTGACTCAGGCCATGGGCCTCCGTCCTCAAAGCTGCACACGGACGAGGCTGGGCCAGAGGATGGAGTACGGGGCTGTTACGGACTTGGGTGTTGTGCCCTGCTGCCTGGAATTAATGTCCCCGTCCCTTCCCCGCCCCCAGGCTGGTTCCGTATGCACCCAATTCTAGCTTGGACAGCCGTCTCCTTCAGAGGACCACCACTGGCCTAGGCTGGTGGGCCCCCAGCTTCTCCCATCGAGTTCATGGATCCCTTCCTGTAATTGGCTGCTTCCGTGCCTGCCTCCATGGCTGCCTTCAGGGCCCGGGCTGAGTCCTGGTTGCCGTGACCTCACTAAGGAAGGGGCCTTAGCAGCGGTCACCTCTAAGTGACTTTACAGACCGGCAAATGCAGACGAGCTGGTAAATGGCACAGTCGCCTGCTGTGTGCCAGGCCTTGTGCCAACCTCTTACTTGGTCTGTCACTCTGTTTTGTTCCCATTTCACAGAAAAGGGACCGAGGCTTGGGTTAAGTCACAGGCTTAAGGTCAGTGGGCTAGTACAAGGCAGAGCAGAGACCCGGCCCCTTGTCCGCCAGGCTCCAGAGCTGTCCCTGCCTCCTCCCGATCCCGTGTTGCGGCCGGGCCCCTCCTGGGTCTGAGCGCGGCCCCCTTGTGCGTGTGTAGGACAACAGCCGGCGTGTGGAGCACATCCTGAAGCTGTGGGTGATCGAGGCCAAGGACCTGCCGGCCAAGAAGAAGTACCTGTGTGAGCTGTGCCTGGACGACGTGCTGTATGCCCGCACCACGGGCAAGCTCAAGACCGACAATGTCTTCTGGGGGGAGCACTTTGAGTTCCACAACCTGCCGCCCCTGCGCACCGTCACCGTCCACCTGTACCGGGAGACGGACAAGAAGAAGAAGAAGGAGCGCAACAGTTACCTGGGCCTGGTGAGCCTGCCGGCTGCTTCCGTGGCCGGGCGGCAGTTCGTGGAGAAGTGGTACCCAGTGGTGACACCCAACCCCAAGGGCGGCAAGGGCCCTGGGCCCATGATCCGCATCAAGGCGCGCTACCAGACCATCACCATCCTGCCCATGGAGATGTACAAGGAGTTTGCCGAGCACATCACCAACCACTACCTGGGGCTCTGTGCGGCCCTCGAGCCCATCCTCAGCGCCAAGACCAAGGAAGAGATGGCATCGGCCCTGGTGCACATTCTGCAGAGCACGGGCAAAGTGAAGGTGCGTGTGTGGGCACAGGCGGGTCCGCCACATTGTGTGGCCCCACATGGAGGCCTGGTGATGTGCACTAGATTACCCGCTGTTCCCCGTGTCCGAGTCATGGATTTCAGCTCTCACAGGGACACTGTCACAGCCAGGTGGGCTCCTTAAGCCCAAGAGTTGCGCCACAGAGTGGGGGGCTTTGTGTCCCTCCTCCATGGTTGGAGCTGATCGCTGATGCACATATGGAGCCGATGGGTGGGGTTGTGGCTTATAGTGAAGGGGTGGTTTGAGGAGCCTCCCCGCTGCACCTGAGGGCCGACCTCTGAAGCTCAAGGGGAGCCAGCCTCTCCCAGACACACGCCCAGTGAGGCAGCATTCAGGTGACATCCCTGACGTGTGACAGCCTGTCGTAGCCCCCAGCCTCAGCCCTCCCACATCAGACACATAGGCTCACACACAGTGCGCACAGGGCTGGTCGGCAGTCAGCCAGCTGTGGCGACAGCTGCCCCAGCCACACAGCCCACGGAACGGGGATTGTCCCAGAGCCATCCGGCAGGCCCCCCGTAGGTTTGGAAGGCCCCACCTCTCTGCCCCCCGCCCCACCTCCTTTCATCTTCCAGGCCACGCGTCAGCCCCTCCCACCTTCTTCTGGAGACAAGTAGTCTCCTTCAGGAGGGCTCTCCACGGCTTACCTGCCCGGCACAGTGCAGCGTGGTTCTGGGCCTCAAAGGTGGACCCCCCACCCCTTCACCCTGCCCCTTCCGTTGGTGGGGAGCTACCTGAAGGGGGTGCAGTGGAGAGGACTGGGCATTGCAGAAGGCCTCGGGTGCTGGCCTGTGTCATAGGAGAATAAAACACAAATCTCTTATATGCATTTAAGAGAAAAAAAGAAGGAGCTGGGCCTCTGCCCTCTGGACATGGTATGGTTTGAGAGCCAAGTGGCCTGTGATGGAGGTGAGGGACCGCCATGTGTCAAGGTCCTGAGCCCTCACAGTCTGGGGGTGGGGAGACACAGGTTGGGGGTCCAGGTTCGACTCCCATCAGGGCCCCTTATTCTCTTACCTGTTCCCAGAAGTCTTTGGGCCCTCCAGAGCCCCCCTGCCTGGTGGCCGCCCTCAAGGAGAGGTACTTTCTCAGTGTGGTCTCCGTGGAGGGAGAGGCACTGAGTTTCCTCCTCCCTTCCCCAGCCTTTGGACCTGACTAGGCCAGACAGGCTCTGGTCAGTGTTGGCAGGCTGTTGGGAAACTGAGTGAACTGAGGGAGCCCCTGGCCCCCAGAGAGGGAGCGAGGGAGGCCCCTTCTGCTGCTGTGTCTGTTCTTTCAATACCCGACCCCCAAGAGCTGGGCTGGCCTGGAAAGCCACCTCCCATCTGCAGTGACCTTTGTTCTTAGGGCCCATGGTGCTCACCGTGGAGGGAGTTGGAAGCCAGGCTCCAGCCGCCCTCATTGGGCCTGGGAGATCATTAGGCGAAAGGATAGAAAGTAACTCGTGCTGGGGTGATGTACATATGAGCTCACTCTCTGATAATATATATATTTATATATTTATAATTATATAATCCCAAGGTAAAGGTTGTATCAGTGGGCATCTCAGCATCTTCCTACCCTCTCTCCGGGCTCCGCCCTCTGGGGCCGTGGCTTTGCAGAGTTCCTGTCCTTGGACTCCAAGGCTTCTCCCTGTCATCCCCACTCCAGATCTGGCCCAGGTAGTTGTGTGGACTTGGACAGGTCACTTTACTATTCTGTGCCTGTTCCCCTCGTTGGGTTTTAGCTCTAAAGAGAGCTCCTCCCCATCCCAGCCTGGGCCTAGCACCCACCCCAGGAGTTGTGGAAGACCTGTGACCGTGAACAGGAGCCTAGTGGAGCTGCAAGGCCCATGCAGTACTTGGCTCTGCTCCTGTGTGTTCAGAGGAGGGGGCCCTACAGGTCATGGGTAGCGCAGGAAGGGGTCCTCAGGTTGGGTGGTACCCAGAGAGGCACTGGCCCCTTCCCTCTCCTCCTGCGGTCCCTACTGTTCCTCCTTTGGCCAGTAGGTTTCCTGCACCTAGAACTCACTTCTGTATTTCAGGGGCCACTTGTGATTTCAAAGGGCCCAAAGTTATGCATATTGGAGGGAGGGATTTCCAGAGCACCAGAAACCCTGGCCCATACTAGCCACCTTGCCACCTCCATCACCCTCCCCTGCGTCTCTGATTCCCTGTCTTCCCCTCGCCCAGGTCACAGGGTTGGCTGAGGGCATGAGGAGGCAGGGGCTCCTGAGGAAGGCAGGCTCACCTTACCGCATCTTTGCAGTCAGGAGGGAGGGCGTGGGCTCAGGCTCCTCTCAGGGTCTTCCCATGACGCTGTGTAAGGGACCTGTAGACTCATCAACTTCACAGCTGCCTTCCAGAAGTCTGGGACCCACAGCAGTGAGGGGCCGCCTTACCACCCAAGCCGAGGACTGTGTTCTCGCCATCTGAGCCCTGGCCCACTGCCTTCCAGGGCATCTGGACAGTTTCCCCCTGGGGGGCGGCCCAGAACAAGTCTGTCTGGTATGGAAGACCCCGTCAGAGTCACAGGCGGGTGGATGGTGACAGCTGCTTGTACAGTGGAGGGAGGGTGGCCTGTCTGTTTTCTTTAGCGCTGTTGGCAATGGGAGGGGAGTTCTGCTCTGGTCTCCTGGCCAGGCCTGGTCAGGGCGGAACAGGGTTTGAGTCTGGCGGGTCTGACCACGGTGCAGTTGGCTCATGGCTCCACGTGGCATGCACTTGCTGAGGCCACCTCCCCATCCCTGACCCAGCTGTCATGTCACCACCTCTAGGTGTCTCCCCTTCACGGGCTGCTGCCCGGGCTCAGCCCCCAGTAGCCCCCAAGGTTGGGCACCAGCAGCGTGGCAGCAGAGCATCCTCAAGAAGTGGGCGCTTCTGGCTGGGGGGCGGGGCTGGGATCCCAGGGTCCTGCCTTCCGGACCTGCTCACAGCCACTCTTATCTCCCACCTTCCCAGGACTTCCTGACTGACCTGATGATGTCAGAGGTGGACCGCTGCGGGGACAACGAGCACCTTATCTTCCGGGAGAACACGCTGGCCACTAAGGCCATCGAGGAATACCTCAAGCTGGTGGGCCAGAAGTACCTGCAGGATGCGCTAGGTAGGGAGGTTGCAGGCTAGCTGGTGGGCAGAGGGTGGCCCGCGCCCGCCAGTCCTTACTCCCTCTCCTTGCCCTCCTGGCCCCAGGTGAGTTCATCAAAGCGCTATATGAGTCGGATGAGAACTGCGAAGTAGACCCAAGCAAGTGCTCGGCCGCCGACCTCCCTGAGCACCAGGGCAACCTCAAGATGTGTTGCGAGCTAGCCTTCTGCAAGATCATCAACTCCTACTGGTCAGTGCCACCTGGGCCCCTGCCCCGCATCTTGCCTGTCTTGTGTCAGGGTGCCCGCAGGGTGCTGGGCAAGGCCCTTCGGCTCCGTTCTCCCTGACTTTGAAACGACAGAGCAGAGGTTTAACGAGGGCGCCAGTGGCCGAGCTGCAGCCTCACGTAGCTTCCAAGTGGTGGCTCTGGGATTGGAATCCCGCCCGCCCCGCCCCCCCACCGCCCACCTGGCCCCCGTCTGGTCCTTTGTGGGCTCTCCAAAGTAAAGGAGTGGCCCAGGGCGCCTGGGTGGCTCAGTCGGTTAAGCGACTGCCTTCGGCTCAGGTCATGGTCCTGGAGTCCCGGGATCGAGTCCCGCATTGGGCTCCCTGCTCGGCAGGGAGTCTGCTTCTCCCTCTGACCTTCCTCCTTCTCATGCTCTCTGTCTCTCATTCTCTCTGTCTCAAA